TATATCATATTGTGACCGAAAGTTGAATCGGTAATCTGCTAGTCTTAGTAATACTTTACTATTGTTACTACGAAAATACCTGTAATGACAGTTTCGAGATTGAACACTACAACGGGTGGTTTTAATAAGTTTTATTTCGATGTGAGTGCGAATGAGGTGATGACTTACACGCAATAAAAAAATGATGTAATAATATGTCTGTTTTCATAAATGTCCATTTAGTCGCTTAAGTCATTGTGATTTTAACGTAAAAATTGTTTCCGAAATTTAAACCACATTTGTGTAATATACAATATGTCAGAAGGCTATTTAACACGTAATTTCATCACGATAATTGTTCGTACCTGCTTAGCTATTGTCAAATGGTTTTTCAGACACAACTACATGCGTATTCTTCCTGGTGGTGTGGAAACCAGAAACGTCAGACAATGGGCTTTTTCAATTTTATCTCTCAAGCGCTTGCAATTTGTCTAAAATAAATTGTTTACGTGACTCAGGTGTCCTCTTTGGTGCTAAGTTTTGCGTGTGAAAGAGAGTGGTGTTAATGAGCACGTTTTATACTAAATTTAAATTATATTGTCGTATCTAAATGAAAAATTGCGTTTGCACCTAATTAATGGTAAAAGGCAGAATATCCAAGTCAATTTGATGACTATGTAATTGTGATTTGTGTATGTGATTGTTGTTCTGAGTCTGGGTGTTCTTTGTGTCCATTTCATGATGTTCAGTCCCCCGCGATAGAGGATATATTCCTAATGAGAGTTGTCTTAAGAAAAAAAGCTAATATTAAAACCGCTTTAGGCATGGGTGCTATGTAGATCGCTGTATTACTTGAGTTTCGTTATTATTATTCTGATCTTTATCCCATTTGCATGTTTCACTATTTTGGACTAAAAACCCGTAACCGTTTGCTTAAGATGTGTTTCATAACTTCCTTCTTGCAAAACTGATATTAAATATATTCAAAATTAAGCGTGTTCGATTTCATTACAGTTCTTTCATAGATACGTTCACTTATGTCTTTCTCCCCAACCACTTACTGACTGCAATTTTAGTCCCACTTATGCACATAGATTTCTAAATTAACATACTTATGCATTTCAAAATACATACATTTTATAGATAAATTACACGGTCATCACACAATATTTGTCAAGGACGGGAATCGAACCCATGACCTGTGGCTTAGCAATTAGGATAGCTAACCACTAGACTAACAGGCATTACAATTCTTGTGTTACACAAAGTAAATGCTAATTCTTCTGGTACAAGAGAAATTAAACCTGTCACAACTTCAACTTTCACAACTTTCGACAACATTATCATGGCTACGTTGAAAGACCATTTCGTTTCAATTACGAGATATATTGACGCATCATGAAATAAAGTTTAACAAATAAATCGTACATAATGGTGTGGCAGCAGTATATTTACGCTCGTAATTTAGCCAAGTGTGAAGTTCCGTCACCTCAGGGGGTACGCTCGCATACCGCAGTAGGTGTAAGAATATTCGTCCAAGTGTCGACTCTCGAATATTCCGCAATGCTGGCGTGGCTATAAATCTGAGGGAGTGATGCCGCGGTTTTTTGCCGGGCGACATTTTTTCCCGCGCTAGCGGTGCATTTATCACCGCTGTGGACTCGCCTGGCCGCCATGGTGACTTATGCCCGGCCAGCCACGAGCAAAATGCCGTTTCATTTTTATTAAAACTACAAACAAGCCACTTCTTATTATTTTTTTTGGGAAAGAGAACCCGCTATAACTAACTTAATAGCCTTCTTTTTCTTTTACTAATGTGGAGCCTACAACTGCGATATGTTTTTTTAAATCTTTTTTAGGGTTCCGTAACGCAGTAGTAATCTCTATAATTTTTCGCGGTCTCTCTGTCCATCCGCATTTTAATGGTATATGTTTTCGATGTTAATAAATTTACCATGATTTTATGACAACACCTTAGATAGCTATCGTATTAAAATGTAGAAATAACCAGATTAAGTTTTAAGGATACGTACAAACAATTTATTGGCAAGTTCGTTGAAATTAATTTGTGAAGAAATCCCAAATGGGAAAATGCTTTTTTTTTGACAGACTTAATGTCTTAAAATTACATTTTAGAGTCAGAACAGAAAAAACACTTCAAACAAAAGCTGGTTTTTATTAAGGTATCTTTTGCAGTTGCTGTATTTGAAACTATAACTAACTTACTGTGACCATTCTACATGATGGTAAATTTTAGTGGACTATGTTTATTATCTCCGTAGCTCAGAGGATATTCTAGACATTTAGCTAAAGCTGCTCAGTACCACTGGCTTATCTTAAAAAACCGTATTCTTACCCAGGCTGTTGGGCAAAAGTTTTACCATATTGATTTATCTTATAAATCAATTAGGTAAAACGTTGGTAAAACATATGGTATTCACCGTCAAACCACATCAAGTAAATCTGTACTTATACATCTGCAAAAAGTCTCAGAAACCACAAGGAAGTCTGCAACAGCTTATCCAATATAGTGTCAAAGGAAACAGTGACATGTTCATCCATGCACAAACGTTCCGTCCTCAAAATAACTATACAACTTAAAAAGATCAAAAGCAAACAATAATTGTGTACTAACAATGGCACCCTTGAAATCCGTCGGGTATAAACCGCAAATAAAACCAAGTTATTAAGTAAGGCCTATCGTCGGGGAGCATTTTATATGTACTTTTATCCGATGTCCATTCTTCTGAAATGCGATTAAAATTGAATAGGTCCATATGTCGCTGGCATCGGACCCGTTACGTCACAATCACACGGCCGGCTGCATTTTCAATTTGCCGCGAGATAAGCGCAACTTTTGGACGACTTTTTCTACGGAATGGCGGAATTGATCCTGTGACTTATGGCGGACGATGTATAAGATGACGTAATTGGATGGTCAATTGAAATGCTTTCCAATTCAAAGGGAACCATAGTCCTCTAGGGACGCTCTAGTCAGACGGTAAAAGTTCATCTAATCAACTGGTTTACATTTTAATTTCGTGTTGGGGTGCAAGAAATAAAATAAACATTTAATATCAATATTGATAATTTATTCACAATTTCATTTAAAATACACAACTTCACAATGTTTTGTTTTAAAAACTAAAAACTTTAGGTACGGGATATCGTTATAGGCTGTTTTGCTGTGATCTAGTTTACAATTTTTATTTTGATAGTCTTATAATGATTTCATTTATTTACTACATGTTTCATTTACATTTCATATATACATATTTTGGGGTACGGCTGTCATGTTTATGGTTGTAACGTGTTGGTATTTAATAATATTTATTACAGTTAACTGGACAAACTATGCACATAAAATAACCGACAGCAGAATTATGAGGTATAAAGACAACATATTGTAGGTACATAAAATTATACAAACACTTTATAACGCACGTTGCTTTTTACATTAAAACATAACATATTTCCATAACATCAACTTAATTATATTTCGAATTCAGTTCGACAATTGCATCTGGTTAATTAATATTCAACAATGCAGTCAAAATCTGTAGATTTCTATTGAATTGTAGAAAATTGATGTCTTGATAGTGCAAGCATTTTAGCCATCCGCAGTGTAAAAAGTGTCAAACTTATTTGGCATTTATTTTAAAATTTAAAATCAAATTTAATTATTATCGACATTTGAATAAGTCCGTGCATAAGGACGTTCTTAAAGATAAAAAGCTTCTTGGTTACAACCACAAACGTAACCCCGTAATTTTAAATTTATGGCCACTCAATATTCTTAATTTTACATCGGTAATGTGATACAAAAATTTATATTACACCTTGTGACGAACAACTGTATACATAATTATTCAATAGCTAATTCGATTTAGTGACCACTTGAACAATTTATATAACAAAACTATACTCATGATTAATGCTTTAACAAAATCAGTTCTGCAAAATGTCACTATTCAAAACTGCTATTTATTTACAATTGCGTGTATAAACTATTACATAAATTACTATTGCATTTCATTCATATATCATCTACACAAATAATAAAATGTACAAAAAAATCTTTATTTTCTGAACACATCACAATTCCTATAGCGAAACCTTATAGTATATACACTGGAGACGACATAGCGAATGTGCTTCATTTAAACATTTTGCCACTTTTAGTGGGGAGCAAAGTAAACACAGACAACACACGGATATGACTTCAATAAAAAAAAAAAAATTTAGTATCGATTTAACATAAAAAGCAAATGCAAGACTATCTTACGCCCAATACGAACCCATAATAAGACCTTACCTGGCTTTGAAGAGATAAACTGCTCACATGCTGTCTCCTGCTTAAATGCTCTAAGAGCAAAACATATATTTCGAATTAAATATAAAAAAATTAAACAATGTACACAGGAACGGAATATAACTTATCGAGATATGTACAAAATACACAAAATTATTTCATCTTTTTTGAACTATTCTTATAAGATTAAGACTTCGTAATCGCTCTTATCTAATATTATAATACTGTACAATTTCGCTAGTTACTTCATGTAAAACACTCTTAAATTTTAATACTTGTAGGAAACTGATTGTGGTATATCAAAATTTTTCATTGTGAAACAAGAAAGTGGGAGCAAATCAAATTTCAAAATCAAAATTAAGGATATGTTCAGTACAATTTAAACTGTACGCTGTAAACGGGCGAGGTTCTGTAGTCAATAGGAAATGACGTAGCGGCAAGATTCTTTGGACTTCAAAGCTAGTCCTTGCTTCTAGCTTCGAATGTTGCCATTACCTCAGCCTTTGTTTGTTTAACATTACAAACGTCAATTCTGTTACAGTCTTATTCATTAATCTGGTGTGTTATGTGTATATACCATGAGTCAATGCTCATTTTGTGTAATCATAGCGTATTTTGTTGCTTCTGATTCTTTTATATAGTCCATCTGGTAGACGTGACTGTTTACGAAAGACATTTCTAATTAATTCTTCTGTGCTTCATTGACTTATCACGTGTACTCACTCCTCCAGCCAGTCTGTAAAGAAGAAATATTGTTAAAAACGTGTTTTTAAAACTGTATGCATGGCATGGCATACGAAACTGTGTGCCCCTATTCCATAAAAAAAAATCATCAATGATCTTGATGCTATACTAAATATCCTAAATAAAATTGTAACCTGTTTGTTTTTTATGCTTAACGCCTTAACTACTTAATGTATCAAAATTAAATTTTGTACGTTTTTGTCAAGGGTGATACAGAAAAGTTTAATTCAGAAAGAAAGTATTAATTACAACGGACACCCACATTAATAAATAATATCTACATTGATGTGAGCGGATTCGCGAGCAACGATTATTTACAATAAAAGATAATTTAGAATCTATTGGATCAAAAAATATCTAAAATAATTTAAGTTAAAGCTTTAAACAACCAACGACCTTCAAACGACGCAAAGTTGGCCCACACTTAGAATAATTACGGGTGTAACTCTGATTCACACAAATATTACTGTCGTGTTGGGATCTTCTTAAACGCCACTCGAAAACACTAAAGATGATTGGAATCGATGAACTGACTTTTTTTATCTGACTGACTAACTGGTGTTTTTTTTTATCTTTAACTTAAATTCAATATCACATTTACATTACTTTCCCAAGTATAACTTCTATTACGATGGATCGCTGCAAAGTTCACATTCAAAAAGGCTTGATTTCACATAATATATTTGCTAAATTACCAAATATGTTGACATTCACTTAGCATGACATTGGCTTATCATTTATGTTATTAATTTTTTAAATAGAAATTAATAATTTAAAACATGAAAAACCGTTTGCTCTAAATAACTATTCAAAAATAAAAACTTCGCCTTCATTATTATCATAATTATAACGAAACATTTACATATTACATACATATATACTTAATATAAATTATTATACAATCCATATTCAAATGATATTTTCATTTATTACAATATTCAAAGGTTGTTAATATTAATGACAACAAACTCACACATATGTTTATAAATGTATTTTATATGATCTCAATCAAACATTTAATAAAGACATCGATTTATATTGATATATAACCGGTGATGCTAAATTTACTGGTAATTACATAACCATTAAATAGAGATAAAAAGACTACGCTAAATATAGAATTTACATAATACTCGTAATATGACTGTGAAATTCTTTCTAGGAATCCAACGTAACAAAGTCGCACAGAATAACTTGATCTGTCTATTTGCTAATCAACGACGAAATCATTGATTTACGAGTATGTACGAGTATTTGAATTCTGCGTGCTCGTAGAAATCGTAATCGTATTTGATGTGATAGTAATTAGATTTAAATGGACAACGTTATTAGTCAATCATCATAAGACGCTTACCATAGAATTAAGCTGCGCAAGGTGATGGTGATGATAGGGGTTATGGGAGGCAGGTGGAGGCGCAAATCCTTGATGGGGTGCGCCGTACCAGTGCGACATGTGCGCCGCCGCTGGATGCACTAAACCTACTTGGTGTTGACCTAGAGGAGAAAAAAAAGTATTGTTAGATATGGGTACTCAATGATGATATACTTGGATCATGGACTTGACATCAAAATGTAATAGAAGTTGAAACAGAAAACTAGCAAATTTCAATAAAACTCATACTGATCGACATTACAAATTCACGTATTTTTTTTTGGAAAAAACATTTATTAACATTTATAACAAGCAATATTAGAGAAAAAGAAAAGACAGAATCTAAGTTTTAGTTTAGTAATCTTTTTTTTAATTGTAAAAAATTCGCGGGTCATTTTTTCTAGTAGGGTTAGACCCACTATTTAACTTCATTAATTTTAAATAGTCTTTTGACTGATTTCTATTTGTAAGTAAAAGCTGTTAGTAACACCTTGCACCTGGATATCGGACCACTTTGGGTATCAGTTGTCTACGAGTTTTGCTAAGTGACCGATAGTAAGAATCAGCCTATAAACTGGCAGAATAAAGTATAACTTTTAACATAGATCCTTTAATACCTAAGGTAAAATTGTGTATACGAATATTTAAATTCAGATTACGAGAAACGTGAAACCGTGCGTAGAGAAGGCTCGATTCGTCGTGTGACTCTCGATTAAATGCAAATACCTTAGTAATACTGCCAATATATTTCTTTAATTATCACATCAGTTAATCGTCATTACGTTAATGATTTACGATTTCACTGACAGTAATTTATTCCTGACACTAGAAGTGGAAAAAATGTATTCCTTTTTTCGTTAAAAAATGGTTTTAGTCTTCATTATGGATAAGAAAACCTTTAATGGGTAGCTGTGAGTACTTAACTATATCTGCGTATGTAACTCTAGCGTTTATTGCCGCTTTGTTTAATTGAAACTAGGAAAATCATTATACATACATAAAAGTTTACGTACATTTTTTTAAGACACCATGATTAGGTTCACTTATAACTATGTTATCAAATCTTGGACGCCAATTTTAACCTACTTCTCTGTATATCCAGTTTTGATTAATTTGACATTTATCTGTTGAAAGAGCCAGGAGATTAATAGGTATATTTTTCAGTGGTTACTTATAGACCCTTTCGAGTTTGGGCTATTTGTTTTGACAAGCAACGAAGTGAGTAGTGAACTTTATGTTAAATTTTAATTTAGCGCCATTGAAGCGGGTGTTTTAGTTTTACTAAACTATAATTATATTAATCATTAGTAGGTGTTATGTAAGGAGGCGGAGGCAGAGGATGATAATGATGATGATGGATCTCATAGGTATTAGTTAAAGGCAAGAAATCCAATTTGTTAAAATATAAACAACGTACATCACGTATTCTATTATTTAAAAACGTGTTTATATATAATTTTTAATACATTTTTCGCTATTATTACAACAACTTTATAGTTGATTGTTATCTAGATTATTGATTTAGATTGTAAGATATGAAACCATGAATAACTAGTACATATGACATTAAGGCATAAAAAACGAGATATTTAAATGAATGCCGGTATCAATATTGACCCAGGCCTGTCGTAAAATGGGTAAATGTTAACAATGATAGCATACTTCAACATTCTGATTCTACATAGTATGTTGTGCGGTAGTTAATAGGAAGATAATGTTTTGGAAAACTAGTCCATCATTTCTGTGAGTTTGAAAGATTCTGCCATACATTTTCTGGAAATCAAATATTCACTTAAGGCCCACAATGTTTTTGTGTCCCTATGTACCCCGTTTAGTAGTGTTTTTTTTACTTTATTTTCTACTGTTTTGCTAAGGATTTGTGAATGGATTTATTATATTTCCAACTCTTCCAATTTACTGCCCATTAATTTCGTTGCTGGTTCCAAGACAATTTAACTTTTCCTGGAACTTCCCGAATGTCATTACTTGGTATGTTCATGAGTGACTGCTGTTGATATTGGTGTAAGAGAGTTACAGTATTGGCCGTGTTGGAGGAATTAGTACCAATAAACAAGTCTATTAATCGATTACGTCATTTCAGTTAAAGAGATAAGAAAGTAAGTTTTTTAGATACATGTACTACAATTATCAGTTAAAGTTAGTGTAAAATACTTGCTACAATTAGAGAGCTACAGATAGGGAGAACGTGTGAAAGGAAGAAAAGAGGTATTAGTGTGGACTTACCGAAGTCCATAGCAGAGGGAAAAGCCGAGCCTCCAAAGCCTTTAGTAGCGTCTCCTAGTGGCTTGATCATGTCTCCCATAACACCACCGAGTGCAAGCGCGCATGCTCCACCACCTCCCATTCCCATGCCTCCCTTCTTCTTCTTACTTTTACTGCTCAGCTTACGGTTCCTTGTTTGGATACCTTCCTTCTTCATCGTTAAGGGTCGGTTTACCTGTTGGCAATAGAATTCAACGTCAATATTATGCTCATTCTCAAAATAAAATTGAAAGAGTACTGGCGAGATTATGTGTCATCAAAGTTTTTTGTTGAAATTTCTCTAATAGCGACTACTTTGTAATAAAAAAAACGGTATAAAAGAAACCACGGAAAATTGAGTACAATGATGTCATAATATCAAACATACAAATGCAATAAATCTAGAAATAGAAATACTACAACAACAAAACAACGGACATATCTCATTATCCATAATTGAATGAGAATCACATTATGACGAGAACGTAGCATCATTTAAATAAAACAAAGTAACTAGGATTTTTTAACAGGCGTATCACGTATCGACCAAATTATACACTCTGAATATAATATTTCTCATAATTGAAACATCATAATATAAATCGTAATTGTTCCATGTTGAATCACAAAATTTTTGCTAACCGGCTGTCTTCCATTTTATGACTGAGACACGACATTTAGCGGTATAAAAAAAACAACTGCGGTACCAATTTAGAATGCTAAGTGCCACTATAAAGGGATGCCGAAACCATAAAATGGTATCACAATAGTTGTGTGCGAATATTCAGCTGTTTGGTGTCCGATGCCGACGGCATGGAGTCGCTCCTCGCATCCTAATTATTGCACCAATGCACTTTGTGTATGTATTTCGTTAGTAGCCGGTGGGAAACTGATGTGACGCGATTTATGAGGTTAAGGTCCTTCAAATATATGATCAGCTGGTTTCCTGTTGTAGATAACGACATGTCCTTAACAATGACCTACCAATGTTGGGATTACGAGAATGAATGGAATTGCGTACCTATACACGAAGGTTTGGTTTTCTTGGAATTAATCCATATCTACTTAGTTTGCCCCCTCTATACCCGAAACAAAGACAGTGACTCCACGAAAACTCTGAGTATAGGACTGGGAGTTTTATCAAAATAGGTTTGAACAGTTTGGATGATCGCGGTCTACATGTGTTTGAAAATATGCATAATATATTTTTTAAGCACAACTTAGTCTATCATCATAATAATTCTAGTGGGGCTCCCCACCTTGATCTGGACATGAGATAAAATCCATATATTTTTCCATATTTGTGCAATTTCTTTGCCAAAATTCTCGGGTCAGCAATCTCGGTCACTTTCTGCTTTGCATCGTGTTGTTTCTAAGAAGCGTGCGTCACGAAGTCGGATGGACGAACGGACAATGAGTTATTCATCGCCTTCCAGGGAACTTGGCAGCGGCATGTGGGCCCTAAACGCACGATTGCATTGCGCCAGCGCCGCGCCGCTCAACGCAGCCCATGCGCATGACCTGCCCTTGTTTCTGTTTTTTTTGGCCCCCTTGCATTGATTTTGCACAACTTATTATTAATTTATTTTAGTTCATTTGATGTATGTCAAGAAGTCTGTATCTTTGACATGCTTGGTTGATGTTTGTTTAAATATTCTGCTTAGTTAAGAAACAAACAGATTGCAATAACAGTGCAAATCATGTTAGTCATCTTTACATATAAAGACGTGTCCGGACATTTAGATTGATCGCATGTCTATGTGACAACAAAATTGCTCGTGACGGGGACTTGATTTGCAGAATTACATTTTTTGTAAAGCAAACATTTAATAAAACAATTCGAAATGACAAAGATGTTATGTTGTATAATTTTAATTTAGTCTGGTTGCAATGTTTCTGAAAAATCCCTCTTAAATGAGAAGTTAAAAACTAGAGATTCAAACAACGAAACTAATTAAAGTTATAGTCGTAATAAAATAAAAGGTTATTGTTAAAATATACAATATAATAGTGCTCTTAATTGGTTTATCATTTCATGTTTGCGTGGACGAATAAACAAATCTAAGACACGAGCAAAGTCCAATTTCTCCAGACGTTCGAGTGATAAAACTTCATTAATCTCTTGCTAAAGTACTGCGTAGTTCTGTGCGTGCTTGTCCCCGACGGTCCTAATGCGTTCCCGCGAATCGCCCACACATCGTGCATACCGCGCCGTCGCTCCTCTCAATTGAACCAATATAAAATGCATTAACTTTACTGCACATGCCAGCAGATTTAGACTGCAACCAAATTAGGTCATTGAGAAGCCTTTGATACTTATGTCAATTTTATTATTGTCTATTCGATCATTTTTATACCCAATTATTGACCAAAAGGTTTTTTTATACTAGCTTGAATTAAGATAAAAACTGCAGATAGGTTTTGTAGCTAGAATAGACAGATTATTAGGAAGATGAATAAAATTGACAAAATAGGTTAACGTTGCCGAATGTGTTTTATTTTACAGACACTTGGTGTCATCAGAATTAATTTTAAAAGCGTTTTTTATAACAGTAATAGACTGTTATAAAAATCTATCACAATTTTTTTCAACATAGTTTTTATTAGTGCGGTAGCGAGTCCACGGTCCGCGTCGACATCATTATCTATCTATAGGTTAAAGAATACACAATGACGATCACTTAATATGTAAAACAGCACCATCAAAGGATTATAGCGTTCGTCCACAGTTGGTTGCGGAAGAACAAATATACATAGCTTATATAGAGCCGACATCACGTCAGCCATGTTGGTGCAGAAATTGCTTAATAACTAGCCATTATGTTAGGTTAATTACGTCTTGCTGTTCCTACTCCCGTTACCGTGTATACTTACATATAGGTGCAGAGATACACTAGTATACGAGTATATGAAAGCTTGCTAATTTACGAACTGGCTACATGACAGAAATATTTAATTCCATAATTGAACAAATATTTACTTTTGTTTCACCTACTCGAACTCAAAAAACTTAGTAACATGTCACAATTTGGAGGTCAAGAGCTTTTAAAAAGATATCATATTTAGTTTCGTCATTCGTGTGGTTCTTTCATGAAATAGTTAGAGAATAAAAACTTATACGTTTGCTGATTACTGCGTTTTTTTACCAACAAAAGAACTCTACGACGGCTCTACCATGCATACGAATCGACCCTGTTTATACTAATAATATTTTTGTGTAGGTTTATTCTGCACACGTTTATTTTTAATTTACTAAAAAAAGTCAATCCAATACCTTAAAAAGGTATTATTTAAAAAGAGGATGATTTGCGTGAGTCGTGGTCCACTTGACCCAATCTACTTGGTAAAAATTTGCATGCAGTTGGAAAATTGTAAAACCTTCAAAATACAAACAGTTTACTTCCTGGTACTTCTATTCAGTATTCGCTTTGCACACACAAAGTTTCCATCGAGTGCTCATAATTATGTCAATGCTGTGTAGTCACACGACAGTGAATTGACTTAACTGTGTGCGCCATATGTTGCACAGCTTAATAGGCATATAATGTTATAACCCCTACATAGAGAGTACTCTTACATTGTCACACTGTCAAACTTTTTTTTTTTTGACTTCGACTATCTTTTACAGTATTACGACCATGGCTATTCCTTGAATATCAGTGTTAATTTACAATGTAAATTTTCGTTGTGTGGTGCCGGCTAAGAATAGATCCACTCAATTTCTTCCCGTGGGTGTCGTGTACGTCGACTAAGTGATTGTATAGTAGAGGATGGGCAGTACCATTTTCGAATAAACATTCGCGATCTATTATAACACTGGTGATCTAAATATGTAAAAGGAAAATAAAATAAAATATTAGCATAATTCTGCGATACATGCCAATCAATATTTCATTTACAAATTAATTACACGCAATAAATCAGTAAATCAGTGAAAATATAATCAAAATCACTACTTAGCATATCAAAATAAAAATAAATTACTCGACACGCTTCATTTATCAATTCAAAAATAGTAGGCTCAGACATTAATTCCTCATTAATAATACATTAGCGACGATAAAACCAATAAACAATTACTATATTGTATACTTCAACAGCTGTTGGATCATGTGAAAAGAAAATAAGGCTTTAGGTTTGAGCGTTAATTCTTCTATCACCATGTACGTCAATACATGTGTTAGTATTAACCATAATGATCCGCAGCACTGTCCATTGCTCTCTTATAGACTTTTCAAAAAGCAATCGTTCCTTACCACTCTGATAACATTTGTTCTGTTATCTAATAGCATTAGCATTATCTGGCCTTATACCTTGCGAAGAAAAATCACACACATTAAAAATTACCTATTTCGGTGTTGTGAATTCCTCTTGGCTGTAGTAATAAACATATAAATGTAAATTACAGTTTGCAATAAATGTCGTGCGCAGTTCAGGGTTACTGTTCCATAGCCGGCATGCAGTACATGCATCTGGACGTCAATGTAATATTACCGTAGCACGCCATTCTGAATAATCTATGAAGTGAATTCTAGGATCCGATTTCTATATGATGTATGACTCTGTCACTATAGATATTTTTATGATAAAAATCCAATCACAAGCTGGTATTTGACGGGATGTATGTACGGTACTCTATTGATGAAGCATAAAATTACAGCTCTATAAAAGCGATGCTGGAGCAAAGCGTAATGGCATATCAGGGTGACAACAAATATTACCACTAACTGATGTTCTCCGAGGTGGAATGACACGTATGAAAACAACTACATAGGAAATAGTTTACGGTTGTTAGTTATTATAATAATAACACATACATAAAAATGTTTATCGTTAAATACAACTGACATAAAATGAAAAGCTATACACCGTAGTGTGTTTTCACTGCATGCATGCACATATTTCGCAATAAAATAGGAGGAAAACCTTGTTTTATATATGCACTAATACCAACGATGGTTGCCTTTGGTTTGCTTGTGACAGCGTTCGTGCAAACAGTGCAATGGTTATTTTTTATAGTGACAACGTAAAATTAACGCTCAGAAGTTGCATACTGCGTTTCATTGTGCGTGCATATAATTGCGTTACGTTTCTAGGACGGAGAGTGTGCTTATTACGCTATCTGCACTCATCTGCACAAACACAGCAATAAAACTGCTCAAATGGGAAAATAACAGGCTCATACTACAATGCCAT